GACACAGAGAGAGGGAACACAAGCAGGGGGAGTGGGAGAGGGAGAAGCAGACTCCCCACGGAGCAGGGAGTCCGATGTGGGGCTCGATCCCAGGACCCTGGGATCATGACCTGAGCTGAAGGCAGATGCTTAAGGACTGAGCCACCCAGGCCCTGAGCAGTTGTCTTAAAAATGTGAACAGACATGTCTGTAAGGTGAAGCAGGGAGAAAGGAGCACTAAGTCTGCATTGGTTTGGGTCACCTGAAGAGTTGAAGAGTGTGCTTTTTGACAGTCCTCCCGTTGGCTTAGCAAGAATGAACCTAAGTTCATGCTGGTGTATGTAATTGTTTGCTTTGGCTAGAAATTAATTCAATTTCAATTTAAGCCACCAATCCACTTGAATTGATGAGAGATTTAACCACTATCAGTTTTGCTCATCTCCCCATACCCACACTAGAGTTTTGCCCATATTTGGGGACCTTACCTTGTGCCAGGGAATTGAGGGGCTGGTGCCTTTGGTCACAGGCTATCATTCCACACGGGTTACACTAGTTTGTTCTCTCTTTTGGTCACAGTGGCCACTTCTGGTTGGTGGCTCTGTTGCTTCTCTCTGCCCTTCAGCTCCACACTCTGGGATGCAACCATGCAGCCTGTTCCTTTGGGGTCTGGCCCACGTGCTCACAGGGAGCCGAGTCCAAACCCGTAGAACTCACTCCCCTCCTCTGAGCCCGGAAGAATCTCTTTTGAGTCTGGCAGAGAACTTCAGCATGCTTCCTGCCTTTCCATGAGCCCTTGCTTCTCTCCTCAGACACAGACCACTGTGGTTTAATGTACTTGATCTTGGTTAAGAGCATGAAGTTCGGAGCCGGCCTCTCTGTGTTTGAATCCAACTGTGCCATTTATTCACCTTGTGGCCTCGGCCCATTTTTGTGCCTGCTTCTTTGTAAAACGGTGATGGTGGTACCTTTATTTGAGGACAGGGAGGGCTGGTTCTTTAAAACTTTGAGGACAGGAGAGGAAGCAGAATTATCCCTAACCATAGCACCTGCCAAAATGCTAATTGGCAGCCTACTTCTCGTTATTTTAGATGGGAAAATTATAAAGCATTTCTCATCAACCCAAAACTCTCAACCAATTTTTAAATCTATAACTAAAACAGAGCAAAATGCCTACATGAAAGTAATAAACTATCTGGTGGGGATACATAAAACCTTTCCTTCTAATTCCCAATGAGCATGGCTATTGATAATCAATTGCTTTGTATATAATTATTTGGCCTCTCCTGTTTTTTTAAAAGATTTTTATTTATTTTATTCGAGAGAGTTAGAGAGCACAAGCAGGGGCAGAGGCAGAGAGAGAAGCAGACTCCCCGCTGAGCGGGGAGCCCGATACGGGGCTTGATCCCAGGACTCTGGAATCGTGACCGAGCTGAAGGGAGATGCTTAACCCACTGAGCCAGCCAGGCGCCCCTATTTGGCCTCTCCTGGTGACGGTAACACGTGTAAAGCATGCCCATGTCCACTTTGTTTACACAGGGCATGTTTTCCAAAATACCTGATTGTGACTCCGATAACCCACCACTTGTGTTTGGGATGTAATTTGAGATTTTACCCCATATCCCTTTGTTTAAAGTATAGTATTGAGTTTTGAGAAAATAAATATAATTTTTTTCAACATAAATGTCTGAAAAACACTTAATTGGGAGAAACATACATTCAACAAAGATTGGGTGTTAAAAATGCAGAAGCACATTCTACTGGGAAAGCGTCCATTGGGGATTCTGCAGGGGTATTCCGGACTTGCATTCTGTCCTAAAATAGCCCAGAAAGAGGAGGGGGAAAACCCCACTAGGTTCTATCTTACATTTTCCATATTCAGGCATTTTCTGACATACTTAAAACATTGTTTTTTTTTTCCTTCCCTCTAACAGGTTTCCTGATCTACTTCGCTTATGGCATCAGACACAGCCTGGAGGGTAATCCGAGAGAGGAGGAAGATGATGAAGAGACTTCCTCAGACAACATCGGTGCCGCAACAAAAGAAAAATCTGCCTTTCAAGCAAACGAGCAGCACCAAAGAAACCTCAGTTTACCTTTCATATTCCATGAAAAGATGAGCGAATGCTAACGCCCGCAGGAGCTGAGCTGGTCCACAGTCTTACCGTACATACCCTACATGGAGTAAACCATGACAGAGTGTCATCGTCGTGCTAGGTTGCCATGGGTTTGCTGCAGACATAGTTCACCCTAACTTATACTTACTCACCTGGACAGCACCTCCTCAGATGGTGAATTGTGTACCTGGGGAAACCTCCTAAGCTCTCTCCTCAGCGATGAATATCCCCCCAATAGTGGGAGCATGTGTGTATGTGTGTATGTATACATTGGGGTCTATGAATGTTAGAAGTTGTTTGTGTTTCACTCTGACTGCATTATATTTTTCTGGTGTTGCCATTAATTGGTGGCTTATACTGCTGCAATGGAAGTAATCACTGAATAGAAAAGTGCTTTGGACGTGCCTGGTGCATTTGGGGAAATAACCATGGCTTTTCCTTATTAGGTGTCATTAATGTCGATTAGAACGTGCTAAAAACGCAATTACCCATCCCGGTGTCTGTCATTGGTCAGGAGCGAGAGGAGAGGAGAAGAAATGAGCCTTTTCTATAACTCATCAGTGCCAGCAGTGGGTTTAATCCAGATTTTTCTTCTATAAAGTATGGCAGTTTGTGACAACTTCAGCCACAGGCGTGTCTGCGTCCTGCCGGTCTACCCAGGGTGGGAGCGGCTCTCTGGGTCACCTGATAGTGCCCCTTTCAGCTGCTGTTGTTTTTTGAGAGAAGTGGTCCTTCCTCAGTCCCTGCAGGGGCTTGAGAGCAGTATGTGTGATCTACTTGGGACCCTTTCTGCTAGAAGATGCAAGTGGTCCCCTGGCAGGAAAGCTTGTGTAAGTGGCAGCAATGAGCGTGTATTTGAAAATCAGAGTCAGACAAATGCTTGTGTAAGTAGACACCAAGCATCTTTGTCTTTAAAGTCACATACGATAAGCCAGTAAAATCTTTCCGGATCACACGATTGGCAGAATGATTTACACTTTTCTCTTTTACTTAATAACTAATCACAGTTCAGTTGTTTTTTAAAACCTCATCAGGTACAGAATTCACTCCTTTGTTCCTATTGTTTTGTCTTGTCCTAGATAGGAGGGGCTACACTAGCAAATTATGTCTTTACTACATGCCAAAGAGGAAAGAAACAAAGGAATACAAGAAGAGGAAATGTCCCGGTTCTGAGTTTAAAGTGCCTATTCAGATGTTAAATTGCATTTGCCCCAATTTGAGGTTTTGGGATCTAATTTGCCTTTGATGTTTCTTTTGGAAACATTTAGGGATGTTTTCCTTCCCCATCCCATAAGTTGTTTAGCACTTTTTATCTCATTTATTTTTAATTGACCACACTAAATCTGTCAATACCCCATTCCCAGTGGTTGGGGAATAAAATATCTGGGCTAAATACATGATTATTTAAAACCTCAAGCTAAAAAATTAACCTAATTGAATTAAAGCTATATAAACACAGTAACCTTTAAGGAATAAATGATTTGTTTTATATGTAAGATTCTCTAATTACTATATTTTCCTTCATAGGGTTCTCTCATAGTGGACTATTTACCTGCAGTGTTCTTTTCATGAATTAGCTTTCTTACAAATAATTAAATGGTTTACTAGGTGAGGCTAGGGGCTAAATACTTACACATCAATGGGTTACATTCCCAGGATGAATGTTATCAAGCTCACCAGTTGACCGGCTTAATCCAAAGGCAAGGAAAACATTTGTTTCCTGATAGCTCTTCCAAGAGATTGTTTTCCTGATGCCATTAAAGAGCAAGTTGTGATCGTTTCATCTAACCAAGAGTTTATTGTGGTTAAATATCAGATAAACAGATAGCCTGGGTTTCTGGCTGCTGGTGTTGGAGCCTCCCTGATCTAGAGCTCAGTACTGACATTCCACAATTTCCAGGGTGCATGGTAAAATCTGAAGCCCAGAATTCTCTTTCAAGCATGTTTTACTGGAGAGGAAGAGTTGGATACTCAAGGAGTACAAGTTTTTGGTAAGGACTGTAGGCATGATCCTAAATCCTTGTTGTTATAGTATTACACTGAGAACCACCTTTTATTCTCTCATCGAGATAGATTAGGCCTTAAGGGAACATAAGGAATTTCATATATAAATATCTGAGTCTTTGTAACAAAATCAAGAAATTTATTTAGAATGTGATAGGCAGCTAAAACTCTTATGCCCACTGTGTTCAATTAGGAGCAGAATTTAGTTAAAAATTATTTTTCCACATTAAAACACTTTGCAAACACAAATATCTATGAAGAGATGCTTTGTTGGTGATTGTGCTTTTTTTCTGTGAAGACTCAAATGTGTGCTCATATCTCTGTATGAGTGTGTGTATATATTTATGTATATGTCTGTGTATTTCAAACAGTGTATAAGTCGGTTGGGTTTATGATGGGCTTTGGAAACGATACAATTGTATGGATAAAAACAAACCCAATTGATGTGGAGAAAAAATAATATTTTATATTGATAGGTATGCTTATACAAAATTTTTAGGTTTTAAACTATTTTGCAATATACAGCAATTTTATATATATGATATTTTCTATAGATTCTTTAAGAAAGATATATTTATAATGTATCTAATGTGGAATCACTAAACTCGAGTACATTGTAACAGGTGCTTTATAATCTGAAATGGAGTAGGAGTAGGAGGTGTTAGGGTTTTCTGTTTACTTATTTCTGAGGCACCTTTTCTGACATCTCTGTCTTGCTCTGTGTTTATTAGTAAAAGCCAGTTCTACCAGGTTTCTTACCACCTCCCTGTTTCTACATCTGAATTCATAACCTTTGGAACAAAATATTGCTTTTACTTTCTTAGGATTACCAAAATGTTTTTGTACAGATACGACTAGTAATCAATCACACTTCTATAAACTCCTCTCCAGAAATGAAAAAAATGCATACCACACATTCTCTTAATTGTGATTGAGTAAAAACAGTTTAAATTACTTTTCTTTCTTACACTAGGAAATATGCTTTCTTAATATTTTCAATGAGAAACTTCCTATCAGAGCACCTTTATACCATACTCTTCAAAAAAGGGAAAAGATGATTTGTGAATAACCATAGAAAGGCCCTGCCTACCCTACATTTAAAAAGGTAGCTATACAAATTCAAGTTCAAACCCTATTTATGAGAAAACTTAACAACTTTTGATAAATACTGAAATACAGATTCTTGCTTACTCACATTTTCCCCCCAGAGATAAACATCAAGAAAACTTCGTAACCCCAAAAACATCATTTAGGATATATACATTGAAGAAAAACTAGCATTGATATATTTAAAACTTTACTACTACCAACCATAATTAGAAGAAAATATCTCTTGCAGAATTATTTTGCTTTAAAATACAGAAGCCTCTCTTTTAATTTTCTGAATAAAAGATTTTTTTAACTTTTTTTTTTTTTAATTTTAAAAATTAGCCAAATTATTTGCTAAGTCCTGGTTATTTTCAGGTAGTTTTTCAACCTGTTTTGAATCAGACTCTGTATTTACCTAGTTCCTTTCTAAACTAATTTGAATGCTTAGCAGGGAGAATAAGGAAAACTACCACTCTCCAGTTCTGATAATGCCAGAGGAGCAGGTCAGTCCTCTTTCTTCGCAAATCAGGGCATTCTGAGATTACAAAGCACATGATAACGTTGTAGCTCTCCCTCGTGATGTAGCTCATGATGTTCTCTGCCTGATTTTCTCCTGATGTGCTTCAAGCAACTGTAAATTAACACCCAAACTACCATTTCCACAGAATTTTAAAGGATTGGGTTTAGAGTGAACATCATGAAGTATTAAAATTCACATGATGAGTGTGAACTTTGGGGACAGGGGGATTAACTTTTTTTTTTTTTTGCTAGCGCCTTCTCTGTACATTTTCTACTTACATTCTCTCACATGTCCTAAAATATCAAGGGAAAAAGTACCAAAGTTCAGCACAGGTCATTTTTTAGCCATGTAGATTTGGAAATAAGGTTGCTTGACTTTGTTGTTTAGCTGAGATTTTTTTTTTCTCTTTGTATAATTATATTTAAACATTTTTAAATGAATTTCTAGTTTCTGGATTTTGAGAGCCCTGCTCTGTTTTTGTGGTTGTTGGTTTTTGTAACATTCATTACTGCTTATATGTACACAGTTTAGTCTTACTGATCTCAAGTGCATTTTCTTATGGCTCAACCCAACTGGCAACCCTCTTGGCTGTGAGTAACATACCGAGGTTTTATTCACCATGGCTGAAGCCACTGCCATAATCTCTGGCCTTAAAGAATCTTCTGTGACTACTGGTGCCCCATGGGGATCATGACCAAGAGCCCGGGCTGGCTCTAGGATCAGGCAGCCTGCAAAGTGTAAGCATCCATAACTACCCTTGTTGAGTGGGATCTTGGGATGACAGTGAGATATGAAGTGAATATGCAAGTTAGGAGTTTGGGGTCCTTAATTTCAGCCCTGAATATCCATCCCAGGGACACATCAACAGTCAATGATAAGGATCCTCTAGAAAAGGTTGGAAAGGATGGCTGCTTCCTGGAACTGGTACCATAGGATCTGGCCCACTGCAATCCCCATATGGGCATGGACAGCCCTGTGGTAGAAAGTGCATGGGCCCAGGCTCAGCTGTTAGAGAGTTTGTATTGCCTATAGGGTGGGTTTCTCTGGCCCAGGCCTGGTTAATGGGCTCTTTATCTTTGGTGTCCACTAGGGCTGCCCCATTGTGTTATTGCTCTATTTTGTTGTCCTTGTACTTAATAGAAGCTGTTGATAGGGCCCAAAACCCTACAGAAATTCTATGTCTGTAAAATCCAACAGATACATTGGACTTGTCTATATGTAAAGATTTTCTGTTTAATAGGTAATTTCAAATTTAAATGTTTCAAATGATAATCAGAGTTCCTTTTTACTTACAAAGTTGGATTATTTTTTAGAATTGTAATAAATAAAAACTCTTGCTGCTTTACCACTGTAAGACGGCTTTCTACTGTGACCATGTACTTTTTTAAAAAAAATTGCAATAGGACTTGTAATAATAGAATATGCCTGTGTATCACACATACCCAAAGCATATATTTCACACTTCTCTTTAAAAAAATTGGGAGAGCTTTCAAGCTCAGAAATGTGGTACAATCTAAACTGAAATGATTATAACATCAAGAATATTCACCTGGCAGCCTAGGGACTACATGGGGACTACCAAGTCCTATAAGATAAAAGACATGTTTCCACATACCCTCAGTCCACATGGCACACCCTAAAAACTATCACTTGCTCCTGAAGAATGCCATCCCAGGACCACACATCTGAGATCCCACCACTTCAACTGTCAGTCTCATTGCTTTTATCTATAAGAAGCTCCTTCCTCAATGTTCCCTTTACCAAATCATAGCCTCTAGTAATTGGTGATCAGTTATGTACAACTGACACATTTTTTACAGTATAATAAAGAAATCTTACCAACTTCAACCCTCTTGAACCTCTGACCAGGAGGAAGGAGTCAGAGCTTTCTGACATGGCTCAACGTTACATAAAATTTCAAATCTCTTGAATTAGTTTGTTACTTTGAAATGTCTTTGTGTATATACTTAATTCCCATTGATTTTAGTAAGTTGGAGGGAACACCATGTTGAATTAAGAAAACTGTAGTATCAGTTAACCAGCATTGGAAACCAAGCTAAAATAGCAAAGCATTTACCAAGCAGAAGCCTAAAACCTAATTTATGTAATTTTTGGCTGTAAGAATCGTTACTAGGTTTTGGTGCCCCACATCTGTCCTGCTACCATGTGGTCACATGAATGCAGTGATCCCCCAGGAACTGTGTCTGGGCTGTGGGTCCAGCCAGGAACCCCAGCGATAAACACCATCTCCTAGTGTCCTTTAAAGAAGGCCACACAGATAGGCTTGCTTTTCAGGTGAAGGGCTCAAAGCCCATGGATTGCTAAGAGATTGTACTGAGAAGTCCCCATCTGTGGGGAAAAGGCAATTCATTTCACTCTATAAAATATCTCAGAAAAAAAAATCTCAAAGACGTACAAAAATAACCCATTATCACATTATCTCAGTTTGTCTTTGAGAGTAGGTCAAAGTAGGGGTGAAACTATCCAGAAAGAAACTCAGCTCAATACTGATGTACTTGAACTTTTCCAGTAAATGCTGGGTAAAGAATCCTTGTTGCCCTCTACTAAACCCGGAGCAGCCAGGGGCGCCTGGGTGCTCAGTAGGGTAAGTGTCCGGCTCTTGGTTTTGGCTCTGGTCATTATCTCAGGGCAGTGGGATGGAGCCCTGATTGGACTCTGCGCTCAGTGGGGACTCTGCTTGGGATTCTCTCTCCTTCTGCCCC